TTTTGTAGTAAAATTTATAATAATTTTAATTAGCACAATTCATTAGCTTTATTACTAAAAAAAAAGTAGTAATTTTTGTACTCAATTTGAGTAGTAATAAATAATAAATGTCAATTTTCTAGCAGAAAAACAAAAAAAAAACAAATTAGTTTTTATTCAGTGAAAATTTTTTTCACAAAATGAACTAAAAATAGCAGAAAAAAAAAGTTAAAAAAGCATTTTACTTTAATTTTCATTCCAATCGTTTGAGTCACTTTTTTTAGTCTACTAAAGTATACTAAAAAATCTACTAAAGTATACTAAAAATATGCACTCTTTTTAAGTAGAAAAAAAAAATTGCAAAAAATTTTGTTTATTAGGTAAGAGAAGGCAAAAAAAAAAACAATGTAAGGCATAGAGAGAACAAACAACGAGAAGAGTAGAAAGAACAAATATTAAGAGAGATGCAAGCAGAGAGAGTGATGAAGAAGAGAGCAAACTTCTCATTATGTTTTGAAAAGTACTGAAAATTCGATTTTCAATCATTTTATTTATATATATATTTTTTGCTTATTTTTGACAAAAGAATGAAAAGATTTAATTTGGGGTCTGTTTAGTGTTTATTTTTACCATTAAAAAAAAATTTTGAAGTAAAAATTTCTTGCAAAAATTTTAAAAAATACAAATTTTTTATATTTTTGAATTTTTTTGTAATTGTAAAAAAGTAAAAAAAAAAAATTATTGCGAGAGAAAAGCAAAAAATAAGAATAAAAAATTTTCTTGTGTGGTCTTTTTTGAATAATTTTTTTAAGTTTTATACGAAGTAAGGCTTTTCATTGTTTGCCAATGTGTTATTTGTTCATATAGCTGTGTATTTATTTCTTTCATAGCATAAATAAGTAATAAAAATCATAAATTATGACAGTAAATAATATTAATCATTACTATCAATAATAATCAAGGATAGTAATGATTAATAACAATATTAGGCATTTATTTAGTACTGTAAAATAAGTAATGAAAGTGAGCAACGATGAGTACTGATTGCTATGGTAATAATAAATAATAGTGATAACAATAAATGCTAGAAAAGATAGTAATAATAATGATAACGATAAATGATGGTAATCTAGCAGTAATATTGATAACAATTTACTTCAATTTTCGTTCCAATCATTTGGGTAATTCTTCAGTCTACTAAAGTATACTGAAAAAATCTAATAAATAGGGAATAGGAGTAATCAATAACTAACTACATTATTGCAAATTCATAGATTATAATGTAATTTACAGAGACAAAACTAATGATAAACATAATAATCAACAAAAATACTGAAGACAGTAGCCAATTCACTTCATAACAATGATGGCGGACTATAACAGTGCGTAATTTCAGTTGATAAAAAAATTAAACGGCAGAAATGGATTGTAATACAGTAATAGTATGATTAATGATTAATAAGAAATATTATCGTTATTCGTTTCATTATTGCCATCATTTGTTCCTATCACCATATCAGTTGGCTCTAGGAATAAACAGTAATAATGGTAGTAGAAATAATTTTGTCAGTTATGAAAAAAAATTCATAGCAGTAAATAACTGTAATAACGATAAGTAATTTCAACGAAAGGAATATAGATTTTTATTACTGCTATTATTATTTGTACTGCTGCTACTCCAAACAATGGATAATTTCAATTAAGAAAGTAGTGATAATAGTAAAGACAAGTTATTGCCTAGTTTATAATTTATTACTATTATAATTATTATCAAGATTAATGCATAGTTATAAAGTATTATTGCTGTAAATGAATAGCTACTATTGTTATTATTAGTGTTATATCCAGCGGTGAATAAATTAATTAGAGAAAAACACACGTTATTATTAAACAAAACTAAGGATCGTTTATTCATTACTGTTCAAGAATACCAAGTAATATCACTCTTTCTATTATCCTTATCACTACTATTATACTATCATTATTAGTAGCAGTAGCAGTAATTAGTACTCGAAAAGTTTTCTAAAAATAGTTTATTTTTCAGTAAATAATAATGCTGAAAGTTATTAAAATTAATGACGGACGTCCTTAAAAAATAATGTAGTTGAAAATTAATTAATGAATAATAACAGTAAACAAAGTATTATACGAGCAATAATAATTATGATAATAAAAAATTGCTAGTGATATATTACTACTACTATCATTACTACTACTCTTACTGCTACTGTCAATAAATAAAAGTAATGATAATAAAATAATAATAGCAATAACTAATAATAATGCGCTATAGTAACAATAATAATAATAATAATAGATAGATAGATAGATAGATAGATAGATAGATAGATAGATAGATGGATAGATAGATAGATGGATAGATAAACAGTAATAAAGTATGCGTATTTATAGCAACTCAAAAGGCGGTGAAAGTATTAAGAGAGAAGTGGAATTGATAACCTCTCGAGCTAAGTATCGCATTAAAGTGCAGCAACTAATGATATATTCATTGAAGATTCGAAAGGTCGACTAAAGACATTTACTTTTTGCTTTTTGTTTATTTTGTTAAGAAAAAAGACTTTTATTTTACTAAAAAACGATTGAATTAAAGAAGAAAGAAAAGAACGCAAAGTAATGCAAAGAATGCTTGCTCGCTCGCTCGCTTGCTTGCTTGCTTGCTTGCTTGCTTGCTAGCTTGCTTGTACACGAACTTTACGTGGCAATAAATGTTTTCTTTAGCAAAAAATATGCTGCTATCAAAAGTGTACATATTTTGTGCGCATTTTGTTTAAAGCATATTTTTTAAAATTTCCATAATGTAGCAAAAAAAAAAGAAAGAAAAAGTTAGAGTTAATTAATTAATTGCATCAAGTTAGATTATTCAGAAACTAAGCTAAGTTAGATTAAGCTAGATTGGTAGTAAGTCTAAGCTAAGGTAGATAAGCTAGATTGAGTGTTAACACTTTTTATTTTGTTTATTCTTTAAAGTCAAAAATTTTTAACATTTGCTATCTGAGAGGTAACTCTTACAGTACTGAATACTTTTAAAGCTGTTGAATGTACTCTACTGGGTACTTTTTATTGCATATTTTAAATAACTCTATAAAGTAAATCTAAGTAAGCAATAAGTATATGAGGGAGTTAGTCAAACTCACGCTTACTTACAACTTTTAAATACTGCAATCGATAATTAAGTAAGTGAGTGTGTTAGGTAACTGAAATATAAAATTCGTAAAAAGCGCTCTGTCAGATACTAAGAATTTCTGAAGTATTATTGGGTAAATTTTTGAATACTTTATGGTAATTACTTTCTATTCATTGATAATCCAAGAAATATGCTTGATAATAGCATTAATATAAGTTCAGTTTATTGCTTTTAAACAATTCCACTTAATTAGCAACTTTAGCTGTAAGTGAGTTTAAGCTATTCCTTTTTGTTGAAGAAAACAGTTTTAGATTTGCTGTCATCTGAAATAATATTTAAACAGTTTTTCATTTGCTGTAATTAATTCACAAACTATATATCGAGTAAGGTTTATTTGCTATCACAAAGTTTGAAACAATACTGAATTTTAAATGATTACAGCAATTCAAATTGTTACAAGCAATAAAATTAAAGTTAAAATTATTTTCTTTGCCATTTACAGTATTCATAAATATTGAAAATGGTACATCTGATGTTATTTTCCCAATGCAAAGTAAAAATTTAACTAAATGTTAAGCTGTGGGAAATCGGTCATTTGCCCAATCATATTAACTTATCATCTTATGATGTACACGCAGTGAAAACCCTCATTGGATATATCCAAAACGAAGAACAAAAAAATATTAAATTATCATTTTATGCTTTGGCGGATCTGCTCGATCTATCTCGATCACTGCTAATACCCGGCCTTCTGAAACAACTTGAAGCAGTAATACTTTTAGTAGTAACTAAATTATTCTTAATTTCTTCTACTACGCGGATAATTACAAATGCATTGACAGTGTCTCAGATTACGTCCATTTTACGTAAATTGCAAAATAATTGTTTTAATAAAAATAGCACTTAATTACTGTATAAGTTAAATTACAGTTACATTTAATGTTGTAGAGCCTTCGGAAAAAAAA